AACCCTGCACCCTAAACCCCTAAAGCATCCCCGGCTAAGCTGACACCCCCCGAATCCCAAAGCAACGCAAAGAACGCTGAAGTCTTTCGAGTCCCTCCGGAAACCCTGCATGAAGCCCCGAAGTTCTTCAGGAGACCCCACCCTAAATCCGACCTTAACCCCAAAAAACCTACCTTTTTTAGGACTTTTAGGCATGTTAATTATATGGAACTCATAATAAAGAAACCCAAAAAAGGTGGGTCTAAAAGGATCCAGGTAAACCCTAAACCATGCCATCGAAACCCTACGCCGCGGACCCCCCACTCTCGGTCTCCCTACGATGCGACAGACCCAAAGACTCCAAAATCCCTTCATTAAGGAATTTCCCTTAAATCAGATTACAAATCCTACTATAATTTAAGGTACATATTCCTTAATTCCCTTATAGAAACCCCTATAGATCCCTTTAAGGAACCCTTATAGATCCCTTTAAGGCCCCTATAATTTAAGGTATATTCTAAACCCTAAACCCTAAACCCTAAACCCTAAACCCTAAACCCTAAACCCCATGGGTTCTCTGGGATATTGGAGTCTGTGGGGAGCTGGAAGTCATGGCAGAGCCTGGAGCTCGCGATCGGTCGTGTCCAGACGGAGAACCATGCTCCTCCAGCGGAGTCATTTCGGTTTAGGGTTTAGGGTTTAGGGTTTAGGGTTTAGGGTTTAGGGTTTAGGGTTTAGGGTTTAGGGTCGGGGCGTTAAAAAATTAGACCCTGAGGGTCCATGTACTTAGGGGGTTTTGGGGTACTAGTACAAATTAGACCCTAAGGGTCCATGTGCTTATGTAGGGCTTTGGGGTACTAATTAGTACATGTATGTGATAGTGCAATGATACGAATTATGAAGGCACCTATGAAAGCACCTATGAGTATATGGTTACTAGGTACGTGGATCCTTCGGCACGAGGCATGAAACTCTCTTGCAACTGGTGAGTGCTTCCACAGGCCCGAAACGCGCCGTGAGTCAGATGATACTGGAGCTTCCTAAACAAGATAAGGTTTGGGTACAGGGTTCAGGGTTTAGGGTCAATGTCGACCATGGGTACAGGATCCCATGTGTAAAGATGCCCTGAAGGAGCGCCCAAAAATGATTCTCAGACATCGCAATGTCTCAGGTTGCCATCTTCTGCACGCCAAGACTGCATCCGGGAACACCGGCTCTATTTTAAGGTCGAGCGGCCCACTTGTTGCTTCGACCTTTGCCACCATCTCGCCATCAATGAGTGTCCTGCTCGAGTCTCCGTTCTGCCCCACACCGTTAATACTTCACGGTGCAACAAATAGGCATGTTGGGCAAGAACTGCTTAGCTGAAAACACTGCTTCCAGCAAGTATAAGTTTCGCTGCCAGAAGCATGAACCATATCCAAGTCATGTAGCTACAGAATCAAGAGACAAGCTTGACATCTACTACTACTACTACTACTACTACTACTACTACTGCTACTACTACTACTACTACTACTACTACTAGCACTACTCCTACTACTACTACTACTACTACTACTACTGCTGCTGCTACTACTACTACTACTGCCACTGCTCCTGCTAAGGCTAATGCTGGTGCCACTGCTACTCCTCTTGCTCCTGCTCCTGCTCCTGCTCTTGCTCCTGCTCCGCTTCTGCTGGTGCACCTGACCACCACTGCCCCAAACTTTTAAATACTCTTCCTGAAAAGTTCGACCCTTAGCGATACCCTAAACCCTAAACCCCCAACCCTAAGCGCGTCCTAAGTCTCTTAAGCCCTGCACTTGTGTGTCCGCCGCGAGACAAACCCTGGCCGACCGGGGCCCTCGCCGGATGACCTCACCATCCTGTTTGGATGCTCTTTTAGGGTTTTGGGTTTAGGGTTTAGGGTCTAGGGTTTAGGGTTTAGGGTTTTCTGATTCTGATTCAAGCTTGACTTCGTGAGATGGCTTGTGAGTTCATTGGGGCGATCATTCCCAGAGACTCCAATATCCTTTAACTAGAAGGAATATACCTTAAATTATAGTATAGAGAATCCCTAATATGATGTAAGGTATACTCCTTAATAAAGGGAGATTGGAGTTTCTGGGTTACAGGGTTGAGGGGCACTAATCTGCGGGCACCTTCGCTGGCCGAGCAAGTGTGTAGCCAGACCGAGGTACTCGCACGCCTCAGAGCCAAGATGCAAGGGTATTAGGGTTTAGGGCTTAGGGTTTAGGGTATAGGGTCAGAAGCTTAGGGCGAGGTTGTGACAGGGAATGGCGCAACAGCATCGTTTCATCTCCAGAGATGGTACTATAGTCCACGCGTCCTGCCCTAAACCCTGAACCCTAAAACTAAACCCCTCAACCCTAAACCCTAAAACCCAAACCCTAAACCCAAAATAGAATCATGACCATGCTCAGGGGGATTAAGCTTGAGGTTTTGGGCATAACTAGCTGGACCCTATAAGACCCACCTGTTTGGGGTTCCTTATTATGCTATAGTCTCCATTGTAGTTCCTTTTTGGGGATTCCTTACAAACTCCTTAATATAGAATTGGTCAAACCAGAAAAGAGGAACTACAATGGAGACTATAGTGACTATAGATAGATCCTTACTTAGTTGCTGAGTTCATAAGCCCCAAAAAGTGTACACTTTCAGTTCTATAAGGGGTCATGTTTTTCAGGTGGGTCCTGAAGCCCGGGATCCTCGAACTACGCCCCCAACACTCTGAAGCAATTCGGCGCTTTCTTGCTATCTTGCTGTAGGGGCCTGAATAATTACCATTACATTTGTTTGTTTTTTTTTTGGGAGGGGGGGGGGG